TCGGCCCCCCCCCCGGGGGGGGGGGGGTGATTTCTCACCTTCTGTCTCTCTGTCTCTCTCTGTCTGTCTGGCGAGCGCATGTGTCCTATATAGCAAAAAAAAAAAAAATTAAATTAAGTTAAATAAAATAATTCTTTAAAAAAAAGTGTTTCAGCTTACCAAAATAGTGTGAATTTTGTCTACAAAACCAGATGAGGGTTTGCTTGTGGTTAAGAATTCTTAGGGGATGGAGCCAGCAGGTGGCATAGTGGTAAAGGTGCTGGGCACTCCCACATGGCCAACCATAGTTCGAGTCCTGGACCTGGTGGCTTGCTTTCTCACTCCCCTCCCCCATCTCGCTCTGGTCAAATTAAAATAAATAAATGAATAAATAAAATAAAATAAAATAAATCTTTAAAGAAAAGCATTCTCGGGGAGGGACTAGCAGGTGGCACAGTGGTTAGGGCACCAGACTCCCACATGGCCGATGGTGGTTCGAGTCCTGGACCTGACAACTCGCTTTCTTATTTTCCCCCCCTCTCTCTGTCTGTCTTTGATGAGTTAATGTGCCCTAAAGCAAATTAAAAAATAATAATAATAAATGTAATTTTTAAAATAATTATTGAATTTTACTTATTATTATTATTTTTTAATTTGACTAGAGAGAGAGAGAAAGTGAGAAAGCAAGCCACCAAGTCTGGGACTCAAACCATGGTCAATTATGTGGGAGTCCAGCACCATAACCACCATGCCACCTGCTGGTTCCCCCACAAACTTTTTGAAGTTCCCTCACATTTGCCAAATTTGTGAGGGAAAGGCTGAAAGGCAGTAGCCTGCAAACAGTATGGAGCCATAAATAGTGTGTTTGACAAGCAGACTTCGATGCTCTATAAATACCTTATTTTTTAAAGGATGGAGATTTTTTTTTTTTTTTGAGAGGTTTTTGCCATAGGGCGCATGTGCTCGCTAGAGAGACAGAGAGACAGAGAGACAGAGAGATAGAAAGTGAGAAATCACCCCCCCCCAGGGGGGATGGCCACACCACAACCCCTTCTCCTCCATTCTCCTCTCAGGATCTTGGGCACGCACGCACACGCGCCCGGCATGAGTTTTAAGCTACTGGGTCCAGGACGCGAAACGCGGTCGACTACGTGGGAGTCCAGCGACATAGCCATTACGCTAACTGCTG